TGGGCTCGTGACTTTATCAATATTATCTTCCGACTTCACGAATTACGCCGTGAACTCGTGTCCGAAAGGGACCTCCGCTTCACAGCGGAGTTCTGGCAAAATGTGTTCCGTTCACTTGGGACACGTTTGACGATGACAACTTCTAACCATCCAGAAATAGATGGTCAGAGGGAACGCGTCAACCGCGTTCTCGAAGAGATATTTCGAGGGTATGTACATACGTTTACGAGTTAGAGTGAGTTCTTGCCGATGGCGAAATTCGCCATCAGCAACTCGGTGCATGCTTCGACAACGCATACACCATCCACGTTTACCCGCCTTATCACAGTGTGCTCTAGTTTAAGAGGGGGGAACTCACTGGCACAAAAACCGATTTGGTTCTTGCTCATCACCCTTCGACAATGTTGTCGACGTGATGGATGCCGATGTCGATGGGATCGATGTCGATAATGACGATGACGACGATGCTGGTATATTCAGCATCGCCAATGACCGCCAAAGTGAGGACGATGACACCCTCACTGGTGAAGACAACGTTTATTCAGCAGTGCACACGAAGTGCACTGATGTCGACAAGGATGAATCAGCAGAGGCACTTCTGCTGACTTGCGAAGCGGTTGTCCTCTGCGTTCAAGACTCTATTGTAGATGCACTAGAAATACAGAAACGCATACAAACATGGAAGAGCAAAGTTCTTTCATCTGACGAAGGAGACTTATTTTTCCTGTCCACAGTAAATCTACCGAAACACGCAGTGACAAACGTGGGAAACAGTAAAGTGCTGTCCAAGTATATCGGTTTATTTCGTGTGTTGCGCCGGATGGACGACGCATTCACTATTGAAAGCCTCGTAAAATTTGCGTACGCATCCTACGTTTTACACTAGACGTCTCCGCCCTACTATCAGTTCGATCCCGTTTCGAGAGGCGAAGAACACCTCTGCGGTTTAGGGCCGTGACCTTCGAGTTGTCTTGTTTGAACGAGCCAGTCTGGTCGACTAGCGAAGCGACCAGATCACGCAGTTAGGCGATGTCCTGATGAGCTGCAGTCAGATCGTCATGAAGAGAACGAATCGAACGTTCGTTCACAAGTTGCGCGAGCGCAAACGCGGCACGATCGTCCGAGCGATCGTGCGCTAAGGAATTGTAATTAACCCTTCTAAGGTCATGAAGCTCGTAACGCCGAGTCCGTTCATGAGCCAGCTCGTCGTATGACTGATGGGATACACAACTTAGTTTCTGAGCATCGAGCTGATCCGACCCTCGAGCCAGATCAGGTGTTCCCGCCCCCACTGCATGCTTTGGTGGATTCTGGCGGTGGTCAGCGCTTTCTATTGGAGCTTATAATAATTATTCGCGACGTGAAGGGAGCCCGAACGAGTTACCTTGTCTGCTACGCTATCTATTCACCGGCCTGGGACAGCTGAGAGCCTCTTGCCCAGCTGATAGTTGATGCTCTGGGTCTCGTCGAGCAATATGTAGAGACCCACCCGCTGTGCTCGCTAAAGAGCCTTCGGAAAGCGACCTTCCTGAACACGAGCACAGAAATTGCAAAGCGTCAATCCCTGCGGACATCTCAGATGATATGCGCGCCCTTCAGTAGGGAACAAAAAGGATGCAGGCCTCCCTAGGGGCACGACTCGAGTTGTCCGGACAACTTGTACACGAATCACTCCTCCAGAGATAGAGAGACAGGGTAATCCTGCTTATCTCGACAGTCGGTGCAACTTATATTGCACACCGACTGAGTTACCCTTTATAACCTGACACAAGCTTCATCAAGCTTATTGAACCATGACTCACAGCCGATGCACTCGACGTTATGGATGAAGGCATTCTATCTATGCACCAAGCCTTACCATCCCGGCCATGGTTGCGTAGTACCACCAATTTTAAGAGCACATCGGTGAATGATTCTTCCTCGGCACGGATAGTTTTTGTGCTGGACTTAGGAGGAAAGCTCCTCCTACAATCGAGCAACGGAATCCGATCCCATTCTGTGGTCATACCAGCCACTCGGTCTAACTCGTTGGATGATGGCATACAAGGTTACTTCACTTGAGGAGCATGGCACAGAACATTGCGGTCCTTGGCCTCTTGTGTGGTGTCATCATGAGCCATGACACAAGTAGCAGCTCGATCCATCGATTTGCTTCTCTCGTGGTAGCGCACAGGTGCGTCACTACCATCACAATGCTTCCAAGTGTCAGACTTGAGTAAGACGAGTATTCGTCGGATAAACTGCTCGATCCGAAGCTCTCGGACATGAAAGCGCCATGTTCCCCAGAGCTGGGTTAACTGGCTCTGGCAGTGTCCGTCCCATAAGTTCCGGAGGCAGGAGGCGCCGCATTTGAGTCGGATGATGCATCCGACTCGCCGGATTAGATACGCTCTATTTCAAGCCCATCCACATTGCGAGTTGCAACATCCGCTGCGTCTGCAGCGGACGTTTGTGTCGCACGTGGTAGCTCACCACGCGAACTAGTCGCTAAAGTCACTGCCTGTAGCTCACTTGCAGCAACAGGAGAACGAACACCTGCTGCTGAGGCTTAAGATGGACCCTCTCCGGCTGCACGCATGCGTGCAACCGCCTTTTCGGCTGCTTCAGCAGCGCACCGCATGGACTTTGACAGCATGTGATAAATTGGCAAATAGGTTAAAATTCGACCAAGAAGTGCTCTCCTTGCCAGATTGATCCAACGGATGTCAACCTGTTCCCGATCGATTTAACTCAATCAACGGGTGATTGATGGTAAGAGGGGTTGATGCAACGAGGTAGCCCATTACATGACGTTGACACCGTTTGGTGTTAATAGGAAGGTAGTCTGGCGTGAAACTATCCTGGTAGTATTACCCGATGTATTTCCTATTGAAGGAATATTATCCTGTAGGATAATAGTCATGTAACGTAAAGGATATTATTTCTCCAATGTAATCGATCCATGTACTGCTCGAACATTGAATGGTAAAGACTTATCAACCAAAAATGACACCAATCGCTGCTAGACGCGCGTAATGAGTGGTGAGCAGGTTGTCGTCATACGACAATGTAGAAAAAAATATTTGATTAAAGGCTAAAGTTGTATCGATAGATCAACTACATTATAGAGCTCTAATTTACCCTTTACTCAAACAGCAGTTTGAGTAAATTAGCTTCTTCTGCACTTACGGAAAACGTGAAGTTTTCCAGCACCCCTAACAAAGGGTGCCCTGTTACACTTATGAATTAGTTTTGGCACATTTAATCCGCACAGTGGACCAGCGTAAAAGAGGACTCATTCTTCTTATCAAAGGACATCGGGCTAGCCGACAGTGTAACGGGCACCCTTGGCTTGGGTGCCACGAAACTTCACGTGCACTCGTACGTGCAGAAGAAGCTAATCTACTTAAACTGCTGTTTGAGTATAGGGTAAATAAGAACTGTTTATATTGTAGTTAATCTATCAATACAACTTTAGCCTTTACTCAAATACATTATTATACTTTGTCGTATGACGACAACCTACTCACCGCTCATTACGCGCGTCTACGAGCGAATGGTGTTAATTATGATTGATACGTCTTTTATCAACCAATCTTCGAGAAGTACATGAATATTATTATAGGAGATTATATTCTTTCACCAGTACCTATCTTGAATTAAATCAGAAACAGATTGTCACGCCAGACATCTTCCTGTTGACACCGTTTGGTGTCAATATCATGTAACGGGCTACCTCGCTACAAACAGACTGTTCAGTCTTTAGTAACAGGCTCTCTAGCGTATACTTACATAACACACACGTAAGAAATCCTCGCTACGCATACGATTAGGCTGTCAGGTTGTTACAAGAACTAATGCACGATCACGTTGCAGCCCGTATAGAATATCCAGCAGTTAGCATACCTTTAATTTGTGCTCAATGAAAACCTAATTTATTGTACTCATAAAGACACGCCCTAGCAGCGAAATAAATTAGATGATAACTAGAAAAGTTATATATAGTGACTCCTTCGCCATCGTTTTGTAGTTCTACGACACTATTGGTGAGTTTTTAACTGAACGTCTTGAGCTAAGATCAGGTGCATTTTATTGGCTCAGGATTCCAAAAGATAATCGGGCTGTTGGCATGGGTAGGTCGCAAGTCACCGGCTGCAATTGATTGAGGAAAGTGATACTTTTTATGCTAACGACAAGCTTTGAATCGACTTTGGATAAAATTATATCCTTAAACTCAATTTTGCTGGAACAATATTACCTTCTGCCAGCAAAATTCGACCGATGACAAAGTTAGACTAGTCGCTACGAAGTAATCGACTAGCAAGTTTGAGCAAAGTTATCTACATTTCTATTGATGTACAAATTAAAGTAATACATACTTTAGTAAATGCTACGCAAATTTCATCGCAAACCAGACTCATCGTGTACAATGTTACATTGAGTCATAAATAATCGATTTCATGCAAGATTTCGGTGTTAATTTTGCATTCCAAGTTTAATAAAAACGACTACGGTTTGAGCCAAATAGCAGTCTGATCTTGTTGATCACAACATGAACTCGATCGCATACTGAACAACCGAAGGGGCGATTTCTAACAAATATATACTTACTGCATTCTTTTACGCGCCTTAAGCGAAGTGAGTTCTTGACAAAAAGCCTTTTTGCACTAGCGCATCGCACGAGAAGCTACAGATTTTTATAAGCTTTTGATACAAGACGTGATGTAGCTCATAGTGCAGCTCATTATCTTCGTGGTGGGAGAATGGGTAAAAGAAGTGGTGCAAGACATTTCGTCACACCTGATGGAAATATAACAAAAGAACTTTCACGAAAATATGTGTTTCGTTGATTAAAATATCTCTAAAGTAATTATGAAGCTTTTCTTTTTTAAAGTTCGACCAGTACAAATAAAATAGTCGAATAGCTCCCAAAAGGCCGAATCACGAGTGTGCACGATCTAAACAGCATCTAACCAGCACCTCGACCCCCTCCCTCCAAGCTCTTACCAGTCAATCCAAAGATGCCGACCCTCTACGTAGGCACGTACACACGTAAAGAACCGCACGTGAACGGCCACGCAACCGGCATTCACGCCTATTCTTTCAATGACGTTACGGGTGCCCTCAACCTGCTTCACATCACGCCAGACGTTGGCATTAATCCGTCGTACGTGGTCGGTACCGACTCAACGCTGTACGTCGTGAACGAGTGCAACGACGCATCAAAGCTTCTCCCAGGAGACGAAACGGGGTTTGTCACAGCTTACGCTCTCAGCTCCACTGGTCACTTGAGGCCAATTAGTCGACATGAGACGGGCGGCACGTACTCGTGTCACGTGGCACTCAGTCTGAACGGAGACTTTGTCTCGGTAGCCAATTACAATGGCGGACTGTCGCTCTACCCCGTACTCGCCGACGGCTCCTTAGCTCCGGCCTCGCACCACTGCCGTCTACAAGGGGCGAGTTTGGTCCATCCCGACCGTCAAGAAGCGTCGCATATTCATAGTACAGTATGGACACCAACAGGTCTCCTCGCAGCTGACTTGGGCACGGATTCCGTCGTGCAGTACACTTTAAATGTAAACAAGAAGCAACTCGAGCACGAAGAGCTCATTTCGTGTCGCCCTGGCTCAGGACCCCGTCACTTGGCGCTCTCGATTGAGCTCGGCGTTTGTTACGTCCTTGGGGAGCTGGACAATACTGTGGGTGTGCATGCTTTTGATGCTTCGACCGGGAAGCTCAACCTCGAGACCCTGCAGACCATTTCGACGCTGCCGAAAGGCTACGAAGGTCCGACTGCCCTCGCGTCGGACATTCACATCTCCCCCACCAACAAGTTTGTCTACGCGGCTACGCGCTTTAGCAACACCATTGCCATCTACGAGATTCTACCTGATACGCGTCTAAAGCTCGTGGACATTGTGCCGACACGGGGTGCTACGCCACGTGATATCCTCTTGTTTAAGGACTTTTTACTGGTAGGCAACCAAGACTCGGACAGCCTCGACGTCTTCCACGTTGATGAGGACACTGGCAAGATCACGTACACGGGCAACTCGGTCGAGTGCCCGTCCCCTTCGTGCATGTTCATTGCTCAGTAACTGGAGCAAGAAGGAGATATAAGAGAGAGAAATGAAGGCGAGAATGAGAGAAAGTGAGACTCTTTTGGTTGTCATTGTCCTTGCTGTCGTCTCTTAAAGTCGTGACAGCCAGTCATTTTTATCGATAATCGACCTAATGGCAGCCCGGGTGGCCCTCGTGACCGGAGGCAGCCGTGGGATCGGCTTTGCCGTAGCTCAAGAGCTTCATCGTCGCGATTGGCACGTTGCAATCACGTCTCGAGACTTGCAACGAGCGCGAGAAGCTGCCGACCGCATATCCCCAACCGTTTTGCCTCTCGCATACTCTTGTCCAAGACGAGGCGAAGACGCGAATGCTGAAGCGGTTCAAGTGGTGTCTCATGTGGTTCAAAACCTCGGGTCGAGTCCCGTTGCACTCGTCAATGCCGCTGGAATGGCCAAGGACAGTCTCCTCTTGAGACTTCAACAGGCGGATCTTGATGAGCTGCTGCTTACCAATTTAGTGGGACCTCTTTACATGAGTAAAGCAGTCACGAAAGGGATGATGGAGAGGCGAATGGGTAGCATCATCAACATTGGAAGTGTCGTTGGGGCGGCTGGCAATGTTGGCCAAGTGGCGTACAGCGCATCCAAGGCGGGACTACGAGGTGCGACCAAGACCTTGGCCAAGGAATTGGGAGCTCGGAACATTCGCGTGAACCTAGTGGAACCAGGTTTCATCTCCACCGACATGACGGACGCAATGGCAGAAGCTGCACGTGAACGCGTGCTCGGCAAAATCTCGCTGGCCCGTTTCGGAAACGCGCATGAAGTCGCGCAGCTCGTGGCGTTCTTGGCAAGTGACGAAGCGTCCTATATCACGGGACAGTACATCCGAATCGACGGTGGACTTGTCATTTGACCAGACAAGTGATCGAACGAGCACGGCTATTGGTCGGCGCTTGCGAGGACAACACGACTGCTGGTGCTGTATTCAGGGCCTCAAAGACGATGGAATAGGGTCGAGCTTGTTGTTGGTAATAATCGATACGGCGGAGACTCGTGCAACGTGTGTAGCCTGCGGCACGGCACGTGATACAACTCCTGAGCTTCCTCACGATATTGCAGCAGGGTCTGTGACTTTAAAGTCCTTCTAGCCACCGTGTTGCAGGGTCCTTCCACATATCAGAGTCGCGAGTGGCAGATTGGTTGGGCTGCTGCTTCGGTAGATGTAGATGACCTCACGGATTATTTATCGCTTTGTCGGATGGACGAAAGGAAAGTACGGACGGGTGTGCAGTCGACCTCCGTTGATGACTCAACTGTGCTTCGTTAATCTCCTTGTTCAGCCAGGTGATCACTGTGTCGAAACGTATGGTAGCATGAGATTACGAGGAAAAACTCCTGGCAAGCAAAGCAGAGTCTAAAGCATACCTTGTTGGTTCGATGCAAGCAACTTGTTGCTATCCTCCAGCTTCTGACTCAATTCTTTGATCGTTCCCTGTCGTACATTGAAAACATATTTGGCGCATGAGATCAAAGGAAGTAGCCTAAGTGCAGCGATTAGCTATTACACACCTTCAGATGTAAAATGTGCTCATCTCGTTTGCGAATATCTTCCTTTGTCGACTTCATTTCCAGTGACGATTCCTCTAGCTGAAGTTGCTTTTCTTTGACAAACTAAAGGTACACAGTCGGATCAAGCATTAATGGTGAGCTTGGCCGAACATGTCTTACAGCCTACAATACCTGTTCTTGCTGCTTGATAATCTTGGCCTTCATCCGCATCTTAGACTTCAGCGTTCGACTTTCGTTCTGTATGCGATCGATAATTTCGTTTCCCTAAATTCAAAACCACACCGCATAACAGCGTTTAGCCCAGTGTTGTGCACAACTATAGATTCGACGAGATCAATCGCTTACCTTATTAATCTCTGAGACACTTAACTCCAGCTTCTGCTGGAGCCTCGCATGGTTGTCTCGATACATCTTCAGTGACTCATCGACTTCCTCATTATGCAGCCTAGCCGACTGTAAGAGGTCGGCGGTCTTCCTGACGACGTCCTCCTTATCAGCAAGCTGCTCTTGTAGCGCGTCCGTCCGAACCTGCAATGCATTCATTTGCTTCTCCTGCTGGGACGCTTTTTGGTCTAGCTCTTTATTTTGATTGCGTAGCTTGTCCACCTCATCTGATAGCGCTTTCCTAGCCTGACCGAGGTCTTCTATCTGAGAGAGCAAATGGTCAATCTGCACTTCGTGCTGATACTTTTGTTTGATCAGATCTTGCACTTGCTTCTCATTCTCCTTTGCTGTCGCCTTAAGCGTTTTAAGCTAGTAAACATACTCATCGACAGTGGTCAGACCATTTTACCTTGGAATCTCCAATACAACCGTCACTCACCTCCTTTTCGTATCTCTCCACAAGTAGGTCAATTTTAGAATTGAGTTCTCCTTCACGCTCTTTTAGCACGGCGGCTGCCTCTTGCCGCTGACCGTTTAGTGCATCTACGAACTTCATTTTCTCCTGTGATAGCGTCGACTCTGCTTCACTGCCTAATGTCGACAACTGCTGCTCCAGTTTCGCTTCATTGGTCTGCGCAAGCTGTAGCTCTTCTTTCATCTGCTTCAACGCCGATGCCAGCGAACGACGGCTTGCTCCAACCTGCGCCAAGCGCGATGCAAGATATGTCTTGACGGCCACGTCGTCACCTGGTAAAAATCTCAACGACAGATGCGTCAATTGCTTGAACGGATTCGTTTCCACAATGCTAAACACTGACTGCCCATTATAATCGGACGTGTTCAACACTGCCAAATAGCTAAACAAAAAGAGAAAGAATACACATAACACGAAACGCAACATTGAGCACGGGGTTCCAACAAAAAATAAACCCGAAAAATGAGAACGAAAAAAGGTTTTCACCTCAATGGAGTTGGCCCAGCTGACCTTGTCTTCTGATTAAGCACGACTTCAACTGACCCTCCCGTCGTTGTTACAGCTACGGCTTCGTCACCAGTTTGAGTCTTGACCTCTGCATCTTCTTCCCCTGCAATCTTCTTGCTGTCCTTCAGACAACATTGCAGCAGCTCAATGAGATTTGCTGGAAACGTGGCAAAATCCACGAGCAGTCTCTGTTGTGTCTTTAGATCGTGAAATTCTTCTTCTGAGACGCGCCAAAAGTAAAGAAAGCACGGAGCAACGCCATCGTCGTCTGTGATTTCCACACGCAACACGTGCTCTTTTTGGTTTTTGGCAGTATTTTGCTAATCAAATTTGCAATAAAAAGCAAACAGAGACAAAATTTAGTCAAGTTTTAGCCTTTTGTAACAGTAAAAAAGCGAAGAAGAAAGAGAAGCAATAATCGATTGCAGGGACGTACACGCACACCAGTAAGCAGACGAACAGTAAGCGGCAGTAGCTTCTCGTCGCGATCAGGGTATTGTACTAGCACGTTGAAACGCCGGTCAAACAGCGGCGCACTGCGGTCATATTCCTCCATTTTCTAGGTTGAATGCTTAAAATGTCGACGTATTTAGCTGTTTAAATGCCCGCAATTGCAAAAAGGCCACCCTGAATTGATGTTTGTGTGGGACTGTTTTATACACCTGGTCAGATTATTTTACAAAATTGAACAAGCGTTTCGAACAACTCGTGCGTACTTAAGGGTGAAAGTACGTGGTCGCTGGGAGGTTATCCACTTGAATTTTCCCTTTAATCGTGAGATGGATGACGCCTTACCCCAGTGTGTGTGCAACTTTGTCTTAACATGCTGTGGGGTTTTAAATATTGGGTTAATCTTATCGTGCTACTGTATTTCGCTGTTTAGGACTGCCATAGACCGAATGTGGCTGGAAGGAACGCTTCCAGAATAAGGATCGTGAAAACTAGACACTGATTTTTCGTAGTTTGCGATTAACAACCTCAAGTCGTCGCTTAAAACAGTAATCATTGTGGTAGAACTGGGGGTCACGCTACCATCAGAAGGCACGTAGCCACTAAAGTTGAGGGTTTTTAACTTGTGAACCAAATTGCTTCTAGTATGCCTCTAAAATGAAAAACTCGTACTAAGAGCGTCCATTGAGCGCCCAATGTGATGACATATAGCCAAGTGCATTGTCATCTGTATCTTGCAAGTGCGTTCAATGATTGACCGCACCATCATCAGGTAGTTGGATGCTACTCAAATCAAACCACGAAAACAGGCGCCAGTGCAAAATGAGATCGTTTGCTAAAGCGCGTGTGAAGCTTCGTAGAGATAGCTAGCGATCGCCGATGCATCAACTTATGACGCCTGTCGATACACATCGTGCTGATGTATTAATCTAGGCGACGTGCTGACATTATGATTTTTGTCAAGGTGGAGCATCACTGGGGTGTGCAAGGTCTAAGCATGTGCGAGTTGGATACTTACAATACTGCTGAAGCAAGCTCGAACTCCATTTACTGTCGATTAAGTGTGGATCATTGATTACTCGATTAAGTGTGGATCATTAAGCACTGTCGATTAAGTGTGGATCATTAATCACTAATAGTAATTCGCAACTGTACCGCGGGCACAATTCAGCTCGACTCGAGTGCGACAAGTAAGTAGCGTCTCATTCTACATCAAAAGGCTAAGAAATTAGAAGCGGGTGTGTAGGAAATATAACTACAGCAAATCCAAGCATTTCTTAATTAATAACGAGCAATATCTAACATTGAATATGCACAGGCAAAGTGCTGCGTATGACAAACATCGATACGAGCATGTGTTATAACGACGACTTACTACTCTGGGGAAACGGGTAGTGCTTGTCGAGCCACTAGACGCAGTCCAATAGAGATCGTAGACTCTTGTGCTGATGCTTATCTCTCGGCTTTAGGTTCTTGCACGAGAAGTTATGAGACACGCTGTGATACTTTCATCTTTCGAACAACGTTTTCGCGTACTCAGCATCCCTCAGTGCCAGCTCGATCTTCTCTGCGGCAAACAAATAAATCAAAACCCGCTACTCGCTATCCCTCGTTTAGTGTAGGGTTTCGCAAGAAGTGCTTCTTGGTGCTGTTGTCGGAAGTCACACCATCGTCGATGGAATCGAAATTCAGGGATGATACGTAGGTGACAGCTGAAGCGGAAATCTTTACGCTGTCGCGTGCAACAAGTATAATAATTGGAAAAAATACCCAGAGGATCAATGACAGACGCATTGTCGAATTATGGTTTATCTTGTAACGGGGTGAGCCCGTTACATAAAATGATACGAATGTATCAAATTTTGACTGTTATCTACTGGATTAATATATTCAATCAACATTACTCGCCAAGAAGTGATGTTGGCGAAACATTTATCCCGAGGGTAACATTCTGGGGTGCATCGCTTTAGGTTGATGTAGTGTCTACATCTACCAAAATCACCCACCAGTCGCTGCTGGACGCACGCGATAGGTGGTCAGCAAGAAACCCGAATAGAATATTGTAGTTTGATCTAGTTAGATCAAGAAAGATGATATACATAGAAACTTAACTACATAATTGCAATTCTACTCTTGCTCTAAACAGATCTCTTGGTTCAGTTTACTTCTCTGTACTTCCTCGGCCCCCTTGTACGTGACGTCAGGAGAGTGCAGCCTTATGTTCAGTCAATACAAGGTATTACCAGTCATCTGGTAAGGGCGTGCCTCCTTGCAACTGGAAGCACTTTGATTTCCGTCCAGCAACCACAATCACCTCATCTGATAGAAACATGTTGAATGAGGAGGAGATCTTTCACGCCACACGTAAATACTTCGTTAAATGGAGTGCGATAGGATGTATGAGTTCTACCGTAAAAGAAGCCGCCATCAGCGCCATATTGATGTCTCTTGACAGAGAACAAAAACATACCGCTACATCCCGGTTCATTTAAAATGAACTTGTCGTGGAAAGAGAAAAGTAGCCTTGATTCACAGCAAGGCTCTTTTAACATGCCAAGCATTTGAGAGAGCTCGGTGCTCAAAGGACAGAGCTGTTGAGAGAGCAACAATTCAATGCTACCGTGGGCGGGACGACACGCACGCGTAATCCCGAAATCTTAAAGGTTGAATATCTCCAAGTACAGAGGAGTCGAGGAAGACACCCTATTTATGTTTCGTCTAACTAAAACAGCTAAAAAGGCACGTCGTATCGACGATGGCGAAAGAAGCTCACATCGCTTAAACCCACTCGGCGGGACGTGCCAAGACTTGGGCCTTAGGGCTTGAAATGAGCGGCCCATATGCTTTCGCGTTGCTGTAAGTCTTTAAAACTTGGCTCGAACGGACGTTTGAGCCGCCACGACCTGAGCTGAGGGCTCGATCAGAGCTTCTGAAACTAAAGCAGGGTAAGCGTGGTGTGAACACTTACGCTCAACATTCACGCTCTCTCGCGAGTAGTATAACTGCTAACCCAGTACATGAACACACGTTGATCACTGTGTTTAAAAACGGGATCGCATATAAGCCCGTCAGAAACCACCTGTTCCGCTTGGATTTGGATACGCTCGAACAAGAAATCTCATCTGCAGAGCAGAAGGGCTTTAGCATGATGCAGGCTCATGCTAGCTCGAGCTCTTATCATCAACCAAGACGACAAAAGACTGGAGGTCTAGAATTAATGGATCTCTGTTATGTTGAGAGCGAGAGACCATACTCTTTAAACAACAAGCGATAGGAGAAGTGCAATTGCTGCCAGAAGTTATGAAACTACGCTTACGAGTTTAAAGCCCCACGCCCAGTAATAAACACTACTGAGAGAAGTGATCGGCCATCTGCTAAAAAGGAATATGGACGCGGGTCCGACACTGTAGCGGCAAAAGTGTGGCGGGCCACAAAAAAAGGTCGGGGTTAGTAGGGGTGGAGAACCCTACTGATCCATAGACATCGATATAGTTTGCAAGTCCTCTGATGATAGTTTCTCAAGTCTCTCAATCCTTGTTTTTCTTTGCGCTTGGCGATGAAATTTCACTTACTCAACTTGAGCTTAGAAGGGTCAAACGAGTTGTCACTTCGTGCCTTAGTTGACTGTGGGGCGTCGAACAGCTTCGTTCGACCCTAGTGGCTAGAGGATCATTGGCTCATGTTCGTTAAGCGCGATATTCTTTCTACGAGGATGACGGTGCGTCTTGCAGAAGGCACATCGATAACAGTGATAAAATTTGTAGTGGAATTTTACTACACGGTCGAAGATTCGCAGTGCAATGATGATTCTTGCGTGATTTGGATGACAAATTTGGTGTCATCCTCGGTCTGCCATGGCTTAGAAAGTACCAGCCATGGATCAGCTGGTAGCATCGATCCGTGAAGATGCCTGCCGTTTGTTCATCAGATGGCCATCTGATAAACGTCTTGAAACGTCCACAAGCGTGTGGATGTACTTTGAGTGAGTGCGATGTCCTTACTTGCGGTACGGTCGTTGGACGACTGCACAATATCACAGTGTGACAACCATTCACACTGTGGAGGAAGCTGCCGGCTACTTTGTGGGTGCACAGACAGCCCCAAAGGTCTACCACTAGAACAAGTCGAGTGGAGAGGGACGTGAGTGTGCACCTAGCGGGCGACTACAAAGTATGGATGAATTAGTTGACCACATAGAACAACACGATGATTCGTGATCGTATAGAGTCGATAGTAGAGGACCTAGCTATGGTAGCGTAGTAACAGCTAGAAGACGCCGAAATAAAACTCCTTACGCACTTGAGAGAGAAATTCTGCAAGCGGTTTTTTATGAGGTAGCGAGACCTAATCAACCTGAGATAATAAGTCATCAGCAGCCTGTAAAAGGCTTCGCATGAAGAAACAGAGATATCAATTATCTTGATTAATGAAGAGTCAAATGCAGGTGCCTGTGCACCCTAACTGATCACACCTCCAACTGTTGACCAAAAAATTTACAAATTTACCAACGCTATAATCGAAACGGTTTTTGAGAGATCTACGTAGTGGAAAGATCAAGCGGATCTGTGAACTCGTCTCGGATAACGGTCACGTGACCGACATTCGGTCGGTAGTAGTATTTGCCGAGTACAAATAATTTCTCAGCATCTCACCGATGAACAGAAGTTTCTTAGGTGAGAAAAATCGGATTGGGAATACACATCTCAATCTTGAGAGTCGCTTTGGGCAGATCCTCTGTACAAAGACTTAATCGATTTAAGGACGTGCTCCCTGAATCCGTACCATTCCTTATGCCTGCGTCTTGAAGATTCAGCCACTGCCTCGTAGACAAGTACATGATATCGATAAGTTCTTTGACGATCGCTTTGCAGCGCCAAATAGGTGAATTAACGTCCTCTCACAGCTATTTAACCTTCTATGTGCTAAAGTTCACAGGAAGATGGTAGATAGTGCACACATTCAACAAATCATTTGCTGCAACGGTACCGGATAATGCGTTAACAGGTTATTCCGTACACAACGGTAAGCAAACCGAGCGGTATGCTCTAGAATTGGCTAGCAATGCCACAAGGGCTTGGCGACTCCCCTGACACCCCCAACGGATTT